CTTAAGTGGATCCACTAGCTAGACCTATGTGGGCACATAGTTATGGGATAGGGATATTGCTACTAGATACCCCGCCTTACCTAACGTATGGGGATCCATCTCAAGAGATTGTTACTAGATACCCCACCTCAACTCACGTATGAGTATCCATCTCAATCCATATCCACTCGGTGCTTAGCATTATTCCCCACGGAGTATTTGACATTCATTATTTTCATTCATTATTATGGGATAAGAGATTGTTACTAGATACCTCGCCTCAACTAACGTATGGGCAACTATCTCATTCCCAACATTCATTCATTGGAAAGCTCATAGATTCAAAGATGAGAATAGCCTTTCACCTAAGAATCCCATATCGTGCGAAAGTCCTTTCACAACATGTCATTATCATTCATCAGAGTACAATTGAGAATTGTCTTTCAATCAACCCATCATCATAAACATAATCATAGAAACTTCATTCATTATTCATTCATGAGTGTGTGTATAGGAGAATAACCTTTCACATAGATCATCATTATTCATAAGCTTTCAATACTAACACAATTCCATTCTAAACATGATCATTATTCAATCATTGAAATCACACACATATATTTTACATCATGATCATACATAGATCCTTCATATGTAGAGGTACAAGGAAGATATCCATCAATTCAATACCACAATATCCATAGTAAGTAAACACCTCCACCTTTCAAGTGGATTAATAGATCAAGCACAATTCTACTTCAATATGCAATTTGATCATAACTTTCCCTTCAAGGATCATAGTTCCAATTTATCAACGCACACTACAATTTACATAATTTCAACATTCTATATCCATATACACATAAACAATTTACATACTTCCATAATCAATCAATTCCCAATCTCACATCACAATTTAGGAATTTGGGGAAAAACATGGGTTCTAGGAAGAAATCATCTTAATTCATCTTTAAATCCACAATTCATTCATAATTCAATGCAATAATGCCTTTGAAAATCATTTGGAATCGAACCCATGCCAAGATTGAAAACTAGTGTTTTAGAGAAAACATTGGAAACTTGGAATCACTTTTGAGATTGGTTCCTTGAAAGAAACTAGGTCAAGGATGAAGACTACCATACCTTTAATGGATGAAATCCACGAAAATCCCTTGAACAACTTGAAGTCTTGACCTTTGAAGCTTGAAGTCTTCACCTCCAATGGAAGTTTCTAGAGAGAGAACCTTTGGAGGGGAAGAGAGGTTTGTAGTTTGGGTTTTGAAATAATGAAGTCTAAAATATGTTTTAATACTTTAAAAATCCTTAAAATACCATAAATAAATAATTAAAACCGTCCCCCAACCAAACTATACTTAAGGTGAATTTACTAATTCACCCCCAACTTGGCCGAACCAAGACAGCAAACTAGGTGGGGACTCACGACTCCAAATCACGGACCATGGTCTGGGTCACGCCCCATCCTGGTCAGCCGTGGTCCATGGTTGTGGCTTGGTTTTGAAGGCCTTGACCTATAGATCAAGACCACGAGTCGTGGTTTGACCTACGGGGCGTAGGTCCCATCCTTAGGTCCAACTTTTTGGACAATGTCTTGGTTTCTTGGGGTCTTGGGTGTTAGGCTTTAGGTTCCTCTTCAAGGACTCCTAGGGTGGTCCTTGGGGAGTCGTACCTTGATGTTTAACCCTTAAACCCCTCAACTATAGCTCGGGACAACATTTTACACCCTCAAACCCCACATCAACTCAAAGACATACTAGTCAGGCTCTAGTTTCACTTATTCATTTTACGGGTCGTTATAGAAAGTTCCAACCTTGATTCTCCCCCGGATTTGAATAGCCCGAGGATGAACCCTCCTCAACTCTAAACACTCCCCTTGCTCCTTTGGATTTGCCCACATTTTTTAACACTTGTGTTTGTAGCAGCTCCATTTGGGATAACATCTTATTGATGTTCTCATCCCTTTATTTTTCTTTATCAAGTTGTTCTTGAGTCATCCTAAAGAAAAAAGGCGAAACTTGATATTCTTGAGTATATCATGCTTAATTTATTTTCATCATGTCATTAACAAGAAACGAAGCCACCTCGAACGATTGCAACATTATTCCACCTCGAACCAACCGATCAGCTACTCTTTTATTTACCGAGTCAAGACTTTGATAGAAGTATTGTAGCAGCACATTGTTTGGAAGTCTGTGAGTCGGGCATTGAAATAGTAGCTTCTTTAACCTCAACCATGTTTCATGGATGGGCTCACCTTCCAATCGCTTGAAACCTTTAATGTTGTCTCTGAGTTTCATCATCCTTGATTGGGGAAAGAACCTTACATTGAATGTCGTGGTCAGCTCATCCCAAGATGTGATCGAATTCTTCGGTAACTCAGCCAACCATTTGCTGGCTTCACCCATCATAGCTAATGGGAATAGCCTGAGATGGACTGATTCTTGTGATACATTCTTGAATGAGAACGGACCACAAACATCTATAAAATTTTGCATATGCTCATGTGGGTCTTCGTGAGTCAACCCTCCGTAGAATCCCTTCATTTGAAGGCGACATCAAATGTCAGGGTAAGGGGTTTTTAGATCAGAAGGCAACCTCAACAATTAACTAAGGACAACCAAATAGGAGAAAAACACTTGGGGGATTGACAAACCAATTGCTAAGCTCAACTCAATGGGTGTAAATTGCTAACCAAAAGTGCTAAATCTTTATGGGTAAGATGAACTTTAGATGGGGCACTTTTCTCTCGAACAACTACCTCATTTCAATTGAGTTCTCTTGAACCTCAATATGCTAAACATAAAGACCAGCCCACAACCTCACTACATCCATTCTCTCAAACTGGATACATAGAATGAGTCTTGGGATTCACTCTCTCGAGCTGAATCCATCATGACCCACTAACTATGAGTGCCAACTTATCACTTTAGATTTTCACTTCTTTCTCAAGCAAGCATAAAACACTAAATTATATTGAAATAAATATACAATAGGATAGTCAAACCACAATGATAAGTTAGACCCACTTTGAATTAGCACTAAAATTGATAACAACTAACACTCATCAAGCCAAATTCAGCAATCAATCATATTGTCAAACCCCCAAGATTGGGGTTTTAGCTAATCATCATAAAAGAAGGAAATTCAGTACCTAATACATGCTCCATAGCTGGGTATTAAAGATCGAAGTTCTAAGATGAATAATATATTTTCTATTACAACACCCAATTGAAATATCTTGCAAAATTGCTTAAATTCAACAAGAATAATCTTTTGTTCTCTCTATTTCGTTTCTCAAAATGATTGGATGCCTTCTCTCTCTTCCAAAAGTCAAATTATATTTATCTGATACATGGATTTTTGGGGTTGATCGGCAAGGAAAGTCGGGCTTCGCCGACCAGTCGGTGACTCACCGATCTTCCTTGTCCATCGCTCTTTTTTCTTCACCTTTTCTTCCATCAGGCACTGTAACTTTAGGTGATCTAGATCGGGGTTGCTGATCACTTCTGCGATGCGCCCTTTAGTCCTTTAGCTTGCCATGAACTTTCATCTCGATCAGTGCGTTCGGCGATTCACCGATATGGAACACAGTTCACCCAAGTTTTTCTCATTTCAGGCACAGTGTACTGTAAAATTAGGCGGTATAGGAGAATTTTGGCGATTCGCTAAGTGCTCTTGGCGATCGTCAGGCTTGGTTTTCTCTTTTTCTTCAACTTATATTGCTCTTTTTTGCCTGTTAGTGTCTTTGCTTTGCTTCTCTATCCACATACCTGAAAATTAAGGCTTTAACATCAGTTTATGGCACAAATTAAGCATATGAGGGAACTAAATCTATATAAACAAAGCCCCAAATAAGTCCAAATCTAGGACTCATCAGTACACAATAGATTATCAGAGACGGTGACATATTGGTGTGAGCTTTATAAGGAGGATCTATCTTCTGACATCCTATACTTTTTCCATTGTTGTATTTCTAATTAGTCAAATTTTCCAGAACATTTGTAGAATTAGTCCATTTCAAGGATTTATTCAATTCATCCTTGGCTCAACTAAGATCCCTTTCTAACTGAGATTTTCTTTCTAGTGCAGTAGCTAGCTTTAACTCAGATTTTTGTTAAATTCTCTCTAAGTTCCAACTCAAAACTACTAAGCTTCTTCTTTCCATTTAGAGTAGTATCAGATTTTTCTTTGAGTTGCAGATTTTCAGCCTCCAAAAAAATCATATGATCATTTGAGACATTAAATCTATCGTTTCATCTTGGAAAGAGTCTGATTCAGAGCATTCTTTTCAGCAGTTAATTCATCTATTGAGTCTATCAAAACATCATCAAGCTTTCTTAATCTCTTGATGGAATATGTATTTATGTTTCTTTTGAAGTCAAGAAGGTTTACCTCTTCCTTGATGTCTTCATCATATGATTTTGCCATCAGAGAGAAAAGAGAGTCAAAGATGTATTCATCGCCTTTGACCACCAGCATAGATACATCTTCAGGGTGTTCTGATTCCTCTAAGTCACTCGAAGAGTTTCCCCTAGCAGCAAGAGCTTTCTTTACCACCTGATCAGCAATAACACTTTCTTCTTTCTTTGTTAAGGACCTGACCCCTACGCTTTTCTTTGTCTCCTCAGATTTGATGTAATCTTTGTACTCCAACTTGTGCACTGGACAATATCTAATGAAATGTCCTGATTTTCCACACTTGTTACACAAGTCATTAGCATTTGCTGATCGACTGGAGTTTCCTTTCTTCAAATAACCTCCATGTTGTTTGACAATTTTGTGAAATCTTCTAGTCAAGTAGGCAATCTCTTCATCATCTTCCGACAGATCACTAGGTGAGGCCTTGAATATCATCAAAACATTGAATTATAACAGGAAGCTAATTGAAATAGTCTAACAACTCAATAAAAGAATTATTTGAGTACATATAAGTGAAAATTTAAACTGAATTTCTGAAAAACCTCTACTAATATATGAGTGTCTTAGACAAGTCCCTAGCTCACTCCAACTATGTGAAACTTGAAGTAACCATACTGAAAGAAAGATAAAAATCATCCTCGAATAATGAGGACTCACCAAGGTACCGTTGTACTATGAAAAATTTTTCTAATTGCGGCCAAAATGATGAATGTTAAACCTATATTATCAAACAATATAAGTAGAAAGTATGCGGTCAGTACTTTGAATGTACTAACTATGAAGAATATTCATAATAAACATGATACCTAATCATATTGAATCTGTAAAACATGATGATACAATGAACAAGTAAAATAAAGGAAGCTGAGATATATTGATCCGTACATAAGTATAAGGTCATGAAATAAATGAAAATATAATTGTGAGAGATACTAAAGCTAACATAAACCATGTGAGATATTACATGGAATTCAGTGTACTTCCTCCACATCAAAAAGAGGGTGCCTAATACTTGTCATTGTAAGGAACCTAATAACTGAGCTAATGTGGATCCACTCAGCTAATTCTATCTGATACAAATTCTATGATGACACATCGTTCTAAGACTTATAGATTGCTATTAAAGGTCCACAGACATTGACTAGAAACCTTCACTCCTAAAATTCACGCGGTGCTAAGTATTTCTTCCAACGAAAACATGCATATTAACTGGAAAAAATAATAAACTGATAATATTAAATCATACTAATAACTGATACATATTTAATAGCTCATAAATCATGATAACTAAAATTATATTGAGTGATACTCTATCTGGAAGCATCTTAGATCATGATATCTGAAAATAATCTGGAAAATACTTTATTTGAAAGCATCTAAATCATGAAAATCTGAAAATTAGAGACATGCATCTAAAATGGCATAATTTCGAGACATGAAAATACTTGCATGCTATGGATTTAAGAAATTATCATTGAAAACGTGGAATTATAATTGAAATTATGAAATTCATGAGTAAAACATGAATTAGGACTGATCATGAAACTGATTTATAATGAAAACGCATGAAGATCGCAGAAAGTTCAAACTTGTAGGAACTATAAACTAGAGAAATTGGAGTTTTCTTGGGACTCAATGAGTGAAGGGATACTCATTGATGAAATTCCACATACCTGGAATAGAATCCTAGCATGAATTTCTTCAATGGAGACATAAAGCTTGGAACCCTTATTCTTGTTTTGTGAGAAAACTTGACAGAAGAAACTTTGATTTTGGAGAGTTAGGAGAGAATAAGAGGTTAGAGTCACTAATAATAACTTGATCCCACTTAGAATAGTCTAAAACGATGTTGTATAAGAATTTAAAAAGTGAGGAAAGACCAAAATAACCTGACTTAAAATTGACGGGGGTCATCTACGGATACCTTCCACAGACCGTACAACACTTCACGGACCGTGGAAGTGTTCATATATGAAAAGAGAGTTCCGGGTTCTGAAGGTCATTCTACTGATGCTTCTACGTTCCATATAGATCTGAAAGACAAAAATGTCTGGGTTCTAGAGCCTTGATTTACGACAGATCCATGGTTCGTGAAAGCATCCACGATCAATGAAAGAGTTTGTGAAACTGTCCTACAAATTACTTCCAAATTTTGAGCTCTGATCTAGGGATTCTATCACGGCTCGTGGTTTCTTTCACAATCTGTGTAAGGGTTTGTAAAAATCCCTTTCTACTGCTATCAGCCTTTCAGATCTTTTCAAGGTCTGATTTGGGCTTAGAAACATTTTGGGTGTTACAGAGAATGACCAACATCTCTGATTTTAATTATTCATGTGCCATAGTCTGGTTTGCTCGTTTGCCAAGCATGTATTTCACCCTATACAATACGGTTGATTATTCTTGATAGTTTTTGAAACTTATGAATATAAGTCATGTTTTATATTTGTTTATTAAAAAAGTAAAATACAAAATTTCAATTTCTTTATCTAGATTGACTTGACACAAAAATTTAAGAAAATAGAAAAGATTGTTAAATCTTATGGTATTAAATTAAAAACATATGGAATGTACCAAAATAAAATTGACCTGACAAAATGAAGTTGATTAAAATAATGGAAGAAAATAAAGTTATCATTTTTTTTGTCTGTAAGATACTAATTCAATGTGCTATAATGACTTGTATAGCGGATTAGACCTTAAGGGACCGTTTGAAAGCTAGTTAAGGCTTAGATTAATACGTGAATAATTTGGTTAAACACGCATTGATCTTTTATATTATTTGGTTTATTAATAGAATAAACGTTATTTGTGTATTAATTTTATACAATGTTTGGTTGGTAGGTTTCAAATGTTGTATAAAAGTTATTCATGTATTAATTTTATGCGTTATTTGGTTGTGTTTTAGTAATTCTACACAATTAATACTTACATAGCTCATGAGAAAATTTATCTATAATTTTATACAGGATAGAAAATGGAATACGTTACGTAGATTTTAATTATATATGAATTAAAATAATAAAATTATATATTACTCCTACTCTTTCTGTCCAATTTATATGACTTAGTTTCATTTTTAGTCAGTCCAAAAAAGAATGACACATTTTTATATTAAGTAACAATTTAACTTTAAAATGTCCATTTTACCCTTAATGAAATGATTTATAGCCACACAATTTTTTCTCAGTCATTTTAAACCACAAGTTTTAAAAGTCTTCATTTTTTTCTTAAACTCCGTGCAGAATCAAACTATCACATAAAATGGAACGGAGGGAGTATCAATTTACTTTAAAATAAATTCTTGTTTTTCTTCTTTTTATTTTTTTTGGGTTCTTTGTCTCTGTTTGCTTCTATCTTGGGGCTGTTTTTTGGACCAAACTATTGTACATTTTTTGTTTGAGTGTTTGAATAAATGGGCATTTAGCTCCAATCTTTAATTTTTTTAAAAAATAAAAATGATACCGCCTAAAAAAAGTACTTCCAATTTTATTTTTTTAAGGCAAAATGGTCTGGTGAACCCTTATACTTGTATTAGTTTGTATTATGAACCCTTCTACTTATCTATTGGTCAACTGAACCCTTATACTCCGTAAAACATAATATATCAAACCCTCTGACCATTGACCAGCCTTATGTGGCATTAAAATGATTGAGTTGGCACAAAAGCATGGCTACACGCATTAAAAGGGCAAGTGAAGATCACACTTACATTAAAAAATATTAAAATTATACAATAAGTGATTTTATAAAAGAAAATAAAATAAAAAATAATTTTCTTCTTCTCCTCCACCACACTTCTTTTCCAGCCATTATCATCTTTTCCAATCAACCCCTCACCCCATCCACGCTCCAATCTCCATTTTCCTTCTTCATACCTTGTTGTCATTCGTTTTCAGCAGATCCATCCCCCTTTTTTTTAATTTTTTCGATTCCAATAGAAATTTCAATTTTGTCTTCGACATAAAAGGCTAACACAGAAAGAAAAAGGAAAGGAAACAAAGAAAGATGACATTGTAGATCTTATAGTTTCAATCAAAAAATTCGGCGACACACTAGAATTTTCAGCGACCCATTTTGGATTTCTTCTCAGTCCCCGGTTTCTTCCCCACAAATCGACATCGAACTTTATGTTCTAATCGATCTTCAATTTGTCTAATTCATTTTCTCCTCTATGTATTGCTTGTGATTCCCAGCCACTATTACTACTGATTTCTTGGGCATTATGTTGTTGTCAGTTGTATATTTTCAAGATTCAAGATTTATTTTTAAGATTTTCATTCTCAATGTCCCTTTTCTTTTATACGAAGATAAATTTAAATGGAAGAAAAAATAAGGATGGAGGTGATGGTAATGGTGGTTGTGGATTGGGGGTGGTGGAGGTAAGTTGAATGGAAGGGAGAGGAAGGTGAGAGAAATATGAATTTTATTTGAAAGAATTATTTAACCTTCTATTTAGTATTTTAATTAATAATTTTAAAAAAGTTAAAAAAGATAATTATGACATGGTATTAATTTGTGTGACATGGATTTGACATGTCATCTATTCAATGGAGAGTGAGATACACACATGGTAGGAGGGGCTTAAAAATCATTTTTTGATTGAGTTTAAGGGTTTAGTTGGTAAAAGATTAAGTAGAAGGATCCACAATACAAACACATACAAGTATGGGGGTCGACCAGACCATTTTGCCTTTTTTTAATTATGTGTACTTTTAAACATATATTATTTGTTTACTTCATTTTTTTTTAAAGAGGAGTTGGAAGTCTTTCCACCTACAACTAATCGAGTCATTAATTAGTTTAAATTATATGGATATGAGTATTAATTATATGTTTTCTTAATGTTATATTGAACATTGACAAAAAACGATCGAGTCAGTCTAATTTGTTTACTTATTATTAGTAAATAATAGATATAAGACAACAAATTAAATATTGAATAAACAATAATTATATCTTATAAGTTCTACAAAACTAAATCCTACCTAAATAATATCTACATAACTAATACTCGTCTAACTAATACATGCATAATTTTTTTTTACATAATTAATAGCTGCATATTTTTAATCAGTAACCAAAAGTTTTTAATTCATTCAATTCACAATTAATAGAGATAAAATGATAAACTCACTATACCAATTATTATTTTCTTAATAAATATGTCAATTCAAAAATGGATAAGTAATTAGGGACCGAGGGAGTATCATACTTGATTTGACCTAAAGATAGATAGTGGAGAAATATTGTTCTCTTATGTGGTCCTTCATGGTTGGTTCATGTATAGTTTGCACAATAGAAGAGAAAGAGAAAGAGAAAGAGGTGAGAGAGAGGAAAGAAAGTAGTGTTAAATTGCAGCAGATGAAAGGTGTTAGCAGTGGGCATGGCGGCGTCACAGAGCTATACATTTAATGCAGCAAAGGTGAATCGACGACAAAGAATCCAAGTGAAGTGAAAGAGGAGAGAGGGGATATGCTAAAAAATTTCGTCGTATAAAGCTGCAAAGCAAAGAAAACACGGGCCCGGCCGGCAGTAATTAGTCAGTAGAAAAATTAGGATAGGTATAGGGTGTTGTTTAATTTTGGCAATGGATTTGCAGCCAAAATTGAGGTTAGATATAGGTTGTAGGAGTAGAATAATAATATGTCTTGGTTTTCCAGTAATTTGTTGGAGTTGAAGGAGATGTACAAGAATAAGGGTTTGCGATGTGGATTTTTCTCTGTGTATGGGTCCCCCTAGTAGTAGTAGCAACTTTGTAGGTAATTATTTATTGTTGATTAATTAGGGTTTAGGGTGATAATGATGAGGGGAGGTGGTAGAGATAGAGATGAATTAGGTGGAGGGAATATGATCAATAATTGTCAAGATTGTGGAAATCAAGCTAAGAAAGATTGTTCACATTCGAGATGTCGAACTTGTTGTAGAGGTAGAGGTTTACAGTGTCACACACACGTTAAAAGTACTTGGGTTCCGGCGGCTACAAGGCGTGAACAACAATTTACTAGTCAGTCTAAAAGGCCAAGAGATCACAATATGGCTGCACCTCGTTTACCCTCAGGTATCATTTTATTAATTGTTCAAAATCAAAATAGTACACATTCTATATAAGTAGTGTAGGGGTATTTCGTGTGATTATTGTTGGTGCAGAAGTGAGTTGTCCAGCAGTATTCCGGTGCGTGAAAGTGATCAGTGCAGTAGATGATAATGCACAAGAACAATATGCATATCAAACATCAGTGAGTATTGGAGGACACATTTTCAAAGGAATGCTTTATGACCAAGGTCCAGCTGGAGGAGAGACTTCTTCTTCTTCTGCACACCTCCACCAACAGGTTTCCATTAATGCTATGTTTGATCCATATCCACCTAATCTTTCCCCTTTCATGCCCCAATTCTTTCCACCCCCAAGACCTTAATTAATTAACTAACTCTTCATTTTGTAGAGAGAAACAAAATTGATTGTGTTATTTCAATTCCATCCATGTACTTTTGTTGTTTTATTGGAATTCCTAATTTTAATTATATTAATTACAATGTAAACTCCTAATTTCTTTTGTTACTAGTATATTTTGTGGCCGCATGAGAATGTGTGCAATATTGGTTTCCTCAATTATTCCTAGGTTTTTCTACTCTAAGCAACACTTTGAATTGGCTTTATGGTTGGTTCTGAGCTCGATGCTGCTTGCTTCTTTCTCCTTCATTTAATCACTTTATTCCCACCTCATCTGTTTACTTTTGGGCCCTATCTCTCATTCTGTGCTTCTTAAGTTTGATTGACACCAATATTTAACAAATTAAGGAAAACTTTTAAATTTTACTTATCAATAAAGATTGTGATGGACTAATGAATATCTTTCTGTTATTTCAAATTTATATCTCGTTAAAGACAAAGCAATCTTTATTAGAAAACATTTTACTCCATCTTTCAAAAATTAAGATACTGACATGCTCTAATAGATAAAGGATGATTTGTTGGTATGGAAATGCACTGACAATGTATATTAGGAGTATTTAATAATCTCTCCCTATATATTTGTGAAATTAACTTCTCTCTACTAAAGTAGACAAGAAAATTACACCCTAGTTCATTTTTAGAAATACTTATTTTTTAAAAATTTATTATTATAATTTTACATTTAAAGATTAATGATTTTTCAGCTTCTCTTTTTCTTTTTATTTTTACTTTTTAAAACATGTTTTACAGATCTAAGATTTTTTTTTTTTAAAGAACATTCATCAATTAAAGTTTGTTTTCAATTAATTTTTATATTGTTGATTGAATGAACAAAAAAGAGAAAATATAGTCTAAAGCAATAGAAGCACATGTCCAAAAAAAAATTAGGTTGAGAAGAAGACTTAATAAGTTATGAATAATTATTTTATGAGATTAATCAGTCTAGATTTTAAAAAGAAGAAAAAGAGAGTAAAAAGTTACTTGATGATTGTCTCAAATTGCTTGCTTTGATGGTGTTGATGGAGAATGATGTGATAATAAAGAGGACATTAAAGCGGTGAAACAATCCTTCTTATTTTTTACAAACAAATAAAATCTTAAACAAACTCGTATAATCAATTTAGAGTTTAATTTATCATATAATACTTTTTTTGTTATTTTTATTTAAATATTAAAAATATGTGATCATATTAAAAAAAAATAAGTATTTCTAAAAATGAACAATAAGGTATAATTTTCTTGTGCACCGGTAAGTGAAGAGAAGTTATCGGGTTTAAGATTTGTACACTATAAAGTCGGCAGTGGACCATAATTATCAACTACATTATTTATTTTATTTGAAATATTTTATGTTGAAGTGAGAGTTGTGCTTGATCATGTTTTTTGTCAAAAATATTTAGAATTTTAATTTGGTCTTTCGAAATATGGTTTGCACCCAAATAAAAAAAAACTAGCAAATTAAATTATCAACTTGACTAATTTAAATCTTAAACATACAAATGTGCTCTAAAAGAGTACTGTCTCTCTGTGTCTCATAGTAATAGTCACATGATGTCATACATTATCCTCTCCGTTCTATATTAATTGATCATCTTATTAAAAAATAGATATTTCACATTAGTTGTTCATCTTGCTAAATCAAAAAAATATTAATTTAATGTTTTCTATATTACTCTTGGAATTAGTTTTTTTTAAAGTGTTTACATTTACATTATTAGTAAAATTCTCAATAGGGTTTTTAGGAGTGAATTAGTAAAGTTATTTTCTACTTTATGATTGGGACAAAGGACAAATATATCCCGAATTATCGTAAATAGTATGCAGATATCCTACGTCATACTTTTGGGACATTGGTGTCCCGCTGTCCAAAAATTAGAGCATATATACCCTTCACTCTAACGGAAGACTAAATAGGGACACGTGGTGTAATCTTATCCATCGGATCGGTGGATAAGATTATGACACGTGTATGTCCGTTAGTATAAAGGGTATATATGCTCTAGTTTTTTTATGGCAGGGGCACCAATGTCCCAAAAATATGACGAAGGGTATCTGCATATCATTTATAATAGTTCGGAGGTATATTTGTCCTTTTATAATTTCTAAATCTACGTACGTATAAAAAGAAAAATAATCAAGTAATATGAAATAGAGGAAGTATCTCATATATGAGCTAATACATACTATCACCATATTTTGATATTGTTTGAATGTTTTATTCTTAAAAAAAAACATGAAATTTGGTTTCAACATAAAATATACTAATTAAAATGGGGTCATTTTTATAAAATAAAAAGTTTAGTGTAGAATTTGAAAAAGAAAAAATACAAGTAAAAGTGAAAAAAATAAAAACATAATTTTTGGGTGTTTCCTAAATTTGAAATTTTAATGGTCAAATGCCGAATTTATTTATTTTTAAAAAAAGAATAAATACTTATGAAGAATAGGTCCTAATTAAATATCTTACACAATGAAGTGTCATGCTGCAGATGATAATTAAATTCTTGGAGGAAATATTTGTTATAAGCATTGCCTAATAACTTGATAAACATGACAACTGACCTGATATTAACTATATTAGTACTAATGAAGTTTTTATGTATACAACTTAAGTTCATTCATATACTGATAGAAGAACAGGTAGGAAGAGAAAGTAGGACGTAAGAATAAAACATTTTTAAGCTATATGCTTTTAGCCTAATTCTTCTTCTGATTATCGATTTAACCTCTAATAAAAAAAATATACCTTAATTAAATTTCATCTGTTAAACAAGTTTAGTAATGAGCATAAGAGAGAGAGTGTATAAATAATTTTTATATGATTAGTGTCACTTAATTTGGTCACGATATTTTTCATCCAGTTTATTTCATAGATAAATCTTCAAGCTCAACGAGTTTTAATTTTAGACCTTACTCATGGATAAAAAACGAGAGTTAAAAGTTCAAATTAATTCATTTACAAGGTCATTGGGTGTAATTTCCTGGAGGGCGTGATTTTGGTTTGACTGAAAATCTTCTTTCATGGGATGTTCAGTTTACTTATTAATAAATAATTATTGTCTCAGTTCTATTTTATTTGAGTTACTTTGATTTGATACGAACTTAAAAAAAAGAAAAAAAACTTTAAAACTTGTAATTTAAAATAAATGATAAATATTTGTGTGATTATAAATTACTTCATTAATGAAAAAATAGATATTTAAAGATTAAATTATTACTTAATATAAAAATATATGACTATTTGTTAGATTAACTAATAATTAATAATGTGACTTAATCCCCAAACGCAAGGTGTAAACTTTCTTCTACCAGTTAAAGAGAAGCTTCGAGTTGCCTTGGGAAGACCGAGTACTACGCTGCACACTTTGTTGTATATCTAGATGCAAAACCCAAGTCCAACAAATCATACTATACGTGGCATTAATTATGTACCTTTTCTTTGTGATCAATTCACGAGACATATTTTTTTGGTTAGTTTTTTATTTTTAAAAAAAACACATCATTTTATTTGATACTCTCTCTGTCCACTTTTATTTGTCATGTTGCGCTTTTCGAAAGTCAATTTGACTAATTTTTAAAGTTAAATTAGATTACGTTAATTCGATATTTTTTTTAAAAAAATTAGATATTCAAAAACTATACAAAAAGTACTATAAGTTGCAATTTTTTGCATATCAATATGATGAAAATATACATCGTAAAATGTTGGTCAAAGTTCTTATTGTTTGACTCTAAAAAAGGAAACTATGACAATTAATTGTGGACGGAGGGAGTAAATATCTAGCTAGGTCAACATTTTATACATGTTAAGTTTCACTTATTTGACCATTTAAATGAAATTTCAAAAAATACTCTTGACATAAAATAGATTAAGCGATAAAGAGATGTCTGCTTCTAGCCTCATATTAATATTGATATTATGGAGGATTAAAAATATCTTTAGACTATGTGAAATGAATAAAAATACTCTCGGTTGATAATTTGATGCAAAAAATGCCATTATAATCAATATTTTGGTCTAAGAATACTATTATTGTTACTTAATGAGTCAAAAATTACTTCTAAATAAATATATATTTTTTCTTTAATCACATTCATTTCCTAATGATGATTTTTTAAATTATAAAATGTTTATCCACTTCAATCGGACAATATTTAAGAAATAAAATATTTTCTTTTTTATTAGAATTTTTTTTATCATTATCAAAATATAAATTAATGACGGGGTTACTATGCTTTTATATATATACCCTATATTGTTAGTTAAAAAAGTACATAGAGTTATTATGTATTAATTGTTAAAATGTGATTAAAAAGAAAAAAAATATTTCTTACTTATTTATTCATTAGAGTGTTCTTTTTAAAAGAAAAGAAACAAGAATAGATTTTTTTTAAAACAATATTTTTTAATCAGAATGCTCTCATAGTGACCCCATCATTTCTTTTTATTTAGACTATGATATTTTTTAATAAATTAGTAAAAAAGTATTTCTTAATATATTTTAAATTAAAGCAAGATAACTATTTTATACTTAAAATAAAAAACCATCATTAGGAAAAAAAGTTATTTAAAAAGAAAAAATAATAAATTTATTTAAAAAAATATATATATTGACCTATTAATAACATTACATACATTTTTTGACAAAACTATTGACCACTTTAGACAAAACTATTGACAACCAGAACATTTATAAACCAAATTATCCACTAAGGACATTTTAGTTGATTATTACTTTATATTTTTTGGATTACTAAGTTCACATTGTTGTCATGTAACTACCTATACTTATTTTCTTATTTCTTCAGTTTCATTTCAAGTGATAAGATGTGGGTAAGGGGAATTTTTAGTGTGAATTCAAATATAAATTTCATTTTTTTATAGATTAAAATTTATATATGTAAAAGCTATATAAAAATATATAATATAAATTAAAATAATTAGCAATTTAAGTTTATAGGGAGTTGAGTGCTAGTTAAAGAGAATTCAATGATTTTGGATCGTACAACGTCCAGGCA